CCGCAGTCCCTTCCCCTTCACGAGGGCGGGCTGGAGTCCCGGGCGAACCCGAGCTCTCCCAGCGCCGTAGGGGACCCGCGTCGCCTGCCACCCCTCAGCGATCTCTTCGCCTGTTGAAATAACTCGGGGGCTGCCCCTGGGCCAAGAGGCTACCGACCGGGCGCAGGCAGCTGGGCGGAAACCTCAGCCCGGGCCTGACCCTGCCGGGCGCCCCGATCGCCACCAAACCCGAGGCCCACCCTGCGCGACAGGGCATGGGGAGGGATCGGGTGAGGGTGGGGGGTTGGAGTCCGGCCACCCTACTGGAGATTTCAAGCCTGAAATTCGCCTGGGGTTCCTTAACTAAGCGCTGGGCTTCTCCCCTCGGCTTACGAAACCTCCCGCACCTCCTGCCTCGGGGCCCGGCGCGGGGCTTGGGAGGTACTGGAGCCCTTGTGACCCCTTAGAAGACTTTGCGCTTTCAAGAGCTCTTTACCTGAAACTGACACCGGCAAGCGCTCTCCGGGGGCCTGTTGGGCAGATAGAGTGGCAAGGCCAGGCGGGGCCTGTTGGCGAGACACGGGGACATTTGTCATGGGTGACCCGGCGCCTCGGCTTCTGAGCCCACGCCGGCGCGAGGAGGCCCGCGCTAATGTAATAAAGCGAGAGCGACAAGAGGAAAGGCCTCTCTCGCCCTGGGGCCGCCACATGCTCACTGGGTTTTACTGTCAGGGCTGGTCGAGGCTGTGGCTTCATTTCATATTCCATTAATATTTACAGCAGCTATTGAATTTCCCATTACAAAGTTCACCATACACACGGCTAATATGAAATTTTAATAGTATTGTGCACATTATGAAAAGTCCCACCATTAAAAGGGGAGGAGGGCGGATCCTAGGGAGAAGCCGCCCTGGGAAGTTACTGTCACCGAACCGCTTGAAACGCGCCCCTAGTCGAAAGATGTATTCATTTGCAGCTGTAATCATAAAGATGTGAAAGAATGGGCACTTTATCAATATTGAAATCCAAAGAGAAGACCGGAGTGGCGTGGCAAAGGGCAGGGTGCTAAATGGGGTTTTCGAAGCTGTGTGTGTGCTGCCTTGCCCTCGCTTAGAGAAAATGTTCTGTTCTTGCCCGGTCCTAGGAGCTCGAGGAGTTGGACAACAGGCAAGACATTTCTGGGTTGTGCTGGGTGCTGGCTTCTGTCAGTCCCGGAGGCTGCGGAAGGACAGGCAGGTGGCTGAGGAGGAGCCCCGTCCCTCCCCTTCCCCTCCCCTCCAGCCCCAGACCCCAGAAATTCCAATCTGTGTCTCTTGGGACCGAACTTGGGTGAGAAGTGTGCAAATCACCTTCTCTTCCCGCCCTGATGTTTATCTACCTTTTCAGGCTTGGCGCCCTGACTTCACATCCTGGGGATGTGGTTCCCATTCCACTCAATGTGCACCCGAAGCTAGGAAGGGTACAAAGGGAGTGGAAGACAAAGAATTTGGCCTGGACACTCAGAAGTCCTCCTCTCAAAGGTCAACCCCCAAAGTGGCCGGAGGGGAGCAAGCGGGCAGCAGCTGGGCGCAGGCCGCACTTTGAGGTGGGGTTATTTTTCTGCTACTGCCGCTGAGGCTCATGGGATTGCTCACTGAAGCCCAGGGATCCCACTTGTGGGGTGTGGGGGCTTCCAGCTCCGTCTCCAGCTCCACTCCAAGCCTCCTTCCGATGCACAGGGCTGAGTGGGGGCAGCTTCCTCCACCAAGGGCTTCCAAGCAGTGCTAGTGAGTACACACCCACAACCACCTCCTGTCCTGTCCCAGGCTGCCAGGACCCTGCCCACTGCAGGTGCCCCGTGCTGCCAGCCTCTGCCCTTCGAGTTTTCCCTCTGTGACCTTTAACCTCGTGTTCTGGGTGACCCAACTGGTTTCTCAAGCAGGCTTCTTGGTTTTTGTACTTAACCTTGTCCTACAGTGGCTAGATAAAAATCAAAGGAGAGGCGTACTTTATTTTGTTCTGGGACAGAATGTGCTGTGATCTCTCTGGCCCACGCCAAGCTTTTTCGTCCTCTGGCCTCTTCCCTCACACCATCACTTCCCTTCCTCACTCTTGGGGTATAAATGAATGGCGGAGCTCAGAGTTGCAACAGCAGTGTCTTAATAAGCGTCTGCTTCCCCCATCAGAGGGCAGTTTCTGAGTCTTCGAGTTACTTTTCAGCTACGGGAAAGTGACAGAGCCGGAAGGTAAAGATGGATGACATTTCCACAGGAAGATCTGGTGTTGGTCCCCCCCGCAAGTTTTAAAAAATTATTACTATAAAAATAATTATTATTATTCCCCCCTTTTATGCGTGTGTTTTGTTAAAGCCCCTAAATGTGTCATGCTTTGTCACATCCTCTGTGTGTGTGTGTGTTTTTAGAGAACATTTGAATAAAAGGCTCGATGCCAGGTATTGGTGACACAGGGGGTGGAATTTTCAGCCGTTCCACAAAGAGTTGGATGCCTCTATTTGCATAAGGTCAGAGTAGTGCTTCTGATAGAACTTTACCAGCATCTCTGTCTCTTAGCAACACTCTTGCACTCTTGGTCCCTGCATTAAATTGACTGGTCCCTTCCTTTTCTTCCTTTCATTGGGAGGCTTACAATAAAATGTCACCCTTCCAACCTGTGCCTGTCACCCAGTAGGTCATCTGTGTCTCCCCCAGCTCCCCCCCTTCCCCTCTCCTCCTCCCTTTTCTCTACAGCTCCAATTAGACGATGAGATTATTCATTTGGTGGGATTCCCAAAACTGTTTCATTTTCTGGTGTTAATTAATATTAATACCATTTCTCCCTTTGTTATTAATAAAAAGCCCTCATAAACAGAGGCGAGATAAAGAGCAAATTGGCAGCACCTGCCAAACAATGGGCCTGGAGAGGGGTAATAAGGGGAGAGGAGATGGAGGAGCGGGCTCCGGGGTCAGTCTCTCCACCCATTTAGCTGATACAGGGTTGATCACAGCGCTAGTCCTTGAAGCGCTTGGAATAGGCCGGGCAGCCCCTTGGCTCAGGGATGGGAACCGGTGACGGGATCCAGATGCTGATAGGTAGTGTTAATGGAGGGTCACGTTTGGACAATAGCCTCCATCACTTGCCTCCTGTCTCTTCTGTCAGATGGAGTCATTTCTGACTACTCTAGCCCTCAGATTTAGGGCAGGTTCAATTATTGCCTTCACCTTGGCAACAGGGTCTACAAATCTACATCCGAGGGACGAAACAATAATAGGAATAGTTCTTCTTACTATTTTAGCATGCCTTCCTTTCTTGTTCGTTGCAAAAGAAGAGACCTCTAAGTGTTCAGGGCACTCCTTCCTATTTCATTCTGGCAACAACTGCCCTGTTGCTCAACCGCCCCCCCCATAATGGCTGCTTGATTAGCATAAAAAATTAAACTTTGGTCTGAATGCCTGAATGATTATTGCTGATTTTGATATCATATCAGTTGTGCAAAATTGGATAGGCTCTAAAGTTGTTCCATGAAACTGATTTCTGGGGAGGGTATGAGAGCTATCTTTCAGAGGATGAAGAAAATAATCCTTCCCTTTTGACAATGTTTGTTATATCCAAAAGGAAAGGAGGGAAGAGGAGAAAAGGAACTGAGCCCTTTATATGCTTCTTGTCCATAAAGTTGAGGATTAATTTAAGTAGATGTAAACAAATTTAAAATCCCAAGCAGCTCTGCCTGAAGGGAGAGGGAATCAGAGAGAAGGGATGCTGGTGATTTCTTTCCCTTTTTCCTTCTTGCACAGAGAAACTGATCCCTTTCTTGGAAGAATGGTTTGTTTTCTGGTTCATGTGGCTCATTCCCTTAAGTGTAGCAAATGGTAAGGTAGAAACACCACGCTTTTCCCTGATATTTTCACAACCTCCTAGATCTGCTTTCCTTTCTCTTCTTCTGGCTTGCATGCCCTATAATTCTTACACTGTATTGCCAGATACATTTGCAGGTAATGGGGTCTGAGAAAAGCAACTGGGGTTAAAAGTCAACTAGCTCCTCTTTAATAATTCACATGTCGTATTTCTTCCACTGTGTCAAGTTTGCTAAAGAAGATGGACAGGGGCTGACGGGTGGTAACTCGAGTTTATTATTCCAAGTCTCAGAAGGAATGAAAATCATAAAAAGATTTGCCCCCCTTCTCCCACTGGGGCTAGAGCAGCCTGCACCTTCCTTGGGGTGCCTTGCCTCTCCTCTTTCTTGCCTTATTTTCCAGCACATCTCCCAGGTGCAAAGACTGGGGTGCAAAAACACACTCCTGGGGATTTTTCTCCTTTCATTTCCCCCTCCTTACAAATGTGTCCCTTTTCCTCCTTGACAGTATCTTCTTTCCTGTACACTTCCAAGTGGCAATTTTGTTCATATTTTCCCCCACAAGTCAGAATACCTCTGCCAGAGCAATTTCACTTACAGATGATGGCTCTTATTTTAACTTTCTTGTAGATGCCCTTTCTCCTTTGTACAACTGTTTTTCCAGTGGCATAGCTGTTGACAGCTTCTGGTGTCTTTGACTTAAATCTTTTTATTCTCTTTCTTTTGGGAAGGATGTAGGCGAAAGTTTGAAATGTGTGACTTTTTATTTTCTCTCATAATTTGCTGTTTCTAGGAAGAGGAAAGGACACAGTACATTAGAGGACAAGAATGTGAAAATCAAAGAAGTTTTCAGCATATTTGAGCTTGATTCTAGAGGATGAGTTGAAATGTTATCAGCTTCCAGAGGGGACGAGGAAGAAAAAACAAACTGAAAAGAAGATTGAGTTTTACCTATTGAGACTTTGCTCAAATGTAGAAGTGAACACAGCACTCAAACTACTTTGTGTTTTTCTATTGCTTGTATTACCCTCTTGGATTTTGAAAGATTTCAATTTACACAGAACCGGCTAGGGGAGTAATTTCGTTTACAATTTCTCTCTTCCAATCTTTTCAAGAGAAAAATATTAGAGGAAGGTTTTCTATCATGAGAGTTAACATTTTTTCCATGTGCTACGTAGTTAATGAAAATGATCCAATGGTTTTGCAAACTTTTTTCCTGACCTTGGGCAAATAGAAAGACATTTGAAAACAGCAATGTTGTGTCTCTTTAGGTCTGAATTAAAACAAATAAATTGATCTTTCAGGAAACATAACTTTATTTTCAAGGTGCAATAATCAGTAGAGGTACATCATTATAGAACAATAAATAATATCTCCCTTCCCTTCATTTTGGGGCTTCAGTGTTCTACAAAGTTCCCTTGTATCTGGGAGTCTTTTCCATTCATTTCACCCCACGATGTTTGATTTTGACTTTAAGTTTTTTGCAGAAGTTCCCTTGTATTGAAGTACTCAGAGTACACTTTCTGTAATAAGAGCTTTCTTCAATTTCTATCACAAATTTCAGATGGAGATCTGTTGATATGTCTGACATAAGTTGTGGGGAGATCAGAGAGTTCCTGGGGGAGAAGCTTTACAAAAATCAGGCACACTCCCGACAGGAGGAGAATAAATAGTTCTGGGGGAAAATGTATAATTAAATGTTAAGTCTGAGCTGAGAAAACTGGGTTGGGAGGAGCTCTTTAGTTTGGTCAGAGGAGAGGGGGGAGTAAAATGTATCCAAGATCCTCTCTCCAAGAAATAGACTATTTGAAACTTACAATTAAAATGTTTCAGGTTGTTACATTTTATCCAACTAAACCACAAGCTAGAGCTTGAGTAAATTTTCAAACACTGGGCAGGAGTCTGTCCTCCTTTAAGTGGGAAAAACTTATGCCCACTAGCTTCATATTCGCAATTTTTATCTGCACCGCTCCTTCCTCAACTACAGTCAGAGGAGATTGTTCGCACGTTTGCATAGATTCTTTTAAGGAGGGGGGGATCTGTCATTTATTTTTAAGTGTATGCATAGTGCCGGAAGTATTGCTTGCAGAAAACTTTCTAGTTTAATGAGCTCAATTGAGCTAAAATCCTTCAAGGAAACGAAATTTGTCAGGAGTCTTGCTTTTGAAATTATTAATTCCATCTCTAGGTGAGGATGGGGATGAACCTGGAGCACAGGGCTGCTCTCCATTCTTTCTGCCTGCATTTCCCTAGGTAACTGTCCCCACCCAAGCTGAACCGCCCCCGCATTCCTGCAATCTGCGTTTCCACTGGAGGGGGGGTGCTGATTTTGAGGTCCAGTCACTCTCACAGACCAAGCTGTTTTTGAGTGGCCAAAGGTGAGGGAGGACGAGTTCCCCACTCTACAAAATCAGCTGACCAGAGAAATCCTAAAGAGCTGGGGCTGCGGGCGGGGTGGGGGGGCTTCTCAGAGAGTCCCACGGAGTTCCGCATGTCGCAGAAAACCTGCATCTCGGGAGTGACCGTATTCTCTCCTGTTTTAACTTAGGTGAGAAGAGGGAAACTCAGAGAGAAAATAAGACAGTTCCAGAAAATCTTGGGGGAGGTTTATTTGAGAAGGGACCTTGGTTGTCTAGGCGCACGCCTGTTCTCGGAGATGCAGAAAGAAAACGGAGCCTTTGAGGACGGGAAATGCGGTTTCCTGTCTGCGGATAACCGAAAATACAAAGTAGCAAGTGCTGGGCTCAGGAGTGGGCTGGCACCTGCTGAGGGACCCCTTACAGCCCGGGGACACGGGAGGACGGGAGCTCGGACTGCAGAGCGGGACAGCGCTGCGGGGTCCCCGGGCTGCAGAGGGGGACAGTGCCACGGGGTCCCCAGGCCTGGCCGCAGACTGCAACTCGGTCCTCACACCTCTCATTTGAAGCCAGTCTTCGCTCTGTCGTCCAGACATCTCCAGCATTTTTTATTCCACGCGCCGCTCCTTCTGAGGAGTTCTCCGAGTCTCTCTGCAGCTTGTCATAACCTGTAATAAAATGCCCTTTCTGTCGGGAGTTTAAGTCCAGAGGGCAGCGAGCTATTTTCAGCTGACAGCCGAGAAAGGGAGCCACGGCGGCCTCCCTTTTGTCCGCCTCGGGCTTTAACTCCTGCGGGACCGTCTGGGAGATCGCTCTGGAAGCAGCCCGCAGGCCGGGGAGCCCAGCACCCCTAACTAAGCAGCGGGCCGGGGCCTCCTCCCTGCAGCCTAGGCGGCGGCGGTGGGGGTCTCGGCCTGGGCCTCGGGGCTGCAGACAGCCCTCAAGAACGGGACCCTGTGCTCACTGGCCTCGGAGGGAGAGGAGCAGAACAGGATGGAGGAAAACAGAAAGACGCTGAGGTCCCACCGGCCAACACCCCGGGAGCTTTTCAGACATAGTTATTAAACTGGTCCGAACTAATTTCCTTAATTAGTCAAATCCATTTTACAATTATTTCCCATCAACTTGGAAAAAAAAACAAGATTTGTTCACCACTCTCGGTCCTGGCAGCGCAGGTTAAGAGCTAATGAGATTGTGCCTGGTGTCACATGGGTCGGAAGGGGCAACCCTGAAAGAGCCCTCGAGGTAGGGGTCCCCAAGGCCACCCTCACCCCGGCGCACAGCCTCAGCCTGACCCCCTCCTGAACCACTCACAGTGTGCATTTAGAAAACACCTCACCCCTATTTTCCTCTCACCTGGTCGACCCCCAGGGAAGCCACCTTAGAATACCGAGTGGGTGCCAGAGCCAGTTTTGTTTTGTTTTGTTTTGTCGACAGTTTGTGACGGAAGGAAAGGATTGCTTGTGATATCACCTGCACAGGGGGAGAATTAGGGAGGAGGGAAGGGAAGACAGGTGACTGGGATAAGAGAACCAAACGGGAGTGTTCATTGCTGCTTTGTTGACATCCAGTTTTGTTCCTGGTGGATTTGCTCTAAGGACCCCTTATGGAGCCAGTGTCCTGTCTCCTCCTGGCCACTAGGTTTCTATGCCCCATCCAGAACTCTCCTTCCAGGCTCTCCAAACTGGGAGGGAGTACCAAATTGTTCTCAGCCACTGAAGGAAACCGTCCCACTCTCCTGGAGTGCCACCCTGCCTTCTCAGCAGGTCGCCCAGCGATAAGGCAGCAGTGCCTGACTCAGACACACCGAGCCTCCCCTCCCCCATCCCTGACCCACTTCACATGCCCTGCTCACTTCTTGGTGGCCTGGGAAGCTGGTAAAATCTTTACAACGAGACTTTCAAGACCCAATCTATATTGTGCTGCCTAAAGGAAACCAGCTGAACTCTACAGGTGATTTTTTTTCTGGAAAGTAGAAGTGTCATAACTGTGACAAGACAAAGTAGAAAGATCCCATTTGAGGACACCCGTTACTTGATATTCCTGCACATAGGAGACCATTGTGTTCAGGTTGTTTAAAAAAAAAAAAAAAAAAAAAAAAAAAAAAAAAAAAAAAAAAAAAAAAAAAAAAAAAAAAAAAAAAAAAAAAAAAAAAAAAAAAAAAAAAAAAAAAAAAAAAAAAAAAAAAAAAAAAAAAAAAAAGCACTTGTGTCCTCTATATCAGAAGGTGCTGGAGGGACATAGTAGGGAGACATTTTATACCTAGGAAAATGAAAACAGCAGAAGCTTTTTATCCCCCAAAGAAAATAACAGAAGGGAAAAATTGAAGAAACACAGAGAAATGTGCTTGCTTCTGAGCAATCAAGTTAGGAATACTGTACTGCATTGTTTAATGCAATCCTCCTGTCTCTTTTATTTTATTTCTTAAGGTTGATTTATGGGTCTCAGGAAAGGATCTTAAGGTGGGCAAAAAAGCAGTGCTAGGTTGCCATCAGTTCAGTGGGTGCCGATGACTGTGAAGGTGATTAGTTCTGTCTCCTTTAATGTCCAGGAAAGCCAGAGTCTTTCTCCCTTGTGAGTCCTACTTCTGTAGAAACCTTGTTCATTTGAAACACTGGTCAGAAATACTTAGGGCATGTGTGAGATCTCCGTGCTGATAGTCTCCTTCTCCCCAGTTGGCTCATAGACTCTATTCAAAAGCAAGCTATTTGGGGACATGTAAAAGCCAGTAAATTTCCTGATGTACAAAAGAAAATGGTCCTTTCTGCCCACTGCCTATTTCCACTCAAAAGTGAATAATGCCCCAGTTACCACCAGCCTGACTTGATTTATCTTGGTTAATAGGATTAACGTGTCAGCCTCTCTCAAGAATCTCCAAATGCATATCCGGAGTGTCGCTGACTTGCGGGTGTCTTTTTTCCTTTCTGAGGGGCATAGTGACGCACCTAGGAGCAGAGGGCCTTTGTCCAGGGGGAGCAGGCAGACTATCTGTCTCCAGTGAAATAAGGCGTGTTATGGCCACCTTTGCCAAGACTCCATGCCAGAACCCAGTCACTATAAAATAATTGTGTCACTACCTCACCAGTTCCCTGTCCATGTTTCATTTATCTTTTGACTGTAATTGAATGGTTGAAAAGCAAAAATGTAGACAAATTCCAGCTGTATTGAGATCTGTTTCTTCCTCCACTACCTCGGCCCATCATTAGATACTTTCCCTCTCTGTGCAGGAGGTCAGAGTTTATAAATATAAATTGCATTTTGCATTACTTCTAGATGAGTGAAGCTGTCAAAGCAATAATATGAGCTTTCAGTCCCACATTCTACCACTTCTTTCCCATTTTTTGGCCGGGAGGTCATGTGCAAATTGAACGTGACAACCCAGAAGACATGTCCAACAGACTCATATTGTTACCCGGATCAGCCGCCTGCTTCATAACAGCATTAAACCCACATTAGTCCCCAGCCTCGGCCAGGCAGGAGCTCTAAACCCAGGACCCGAGCTTCTCAGAAAGTTCATTTCATGGTACCATTTCATTTAAAAGTAGTAGGCAGCACTGACCTAAAATATTTTTCACCCAAGATTCAAGAGGATGTCATATTGAAAATATCGGGGCAGTTTCTAAATAGGACAAAGAACAAACATCAAGATAAAGTGTCCAAGTGCTCTGTAAAACACACACACAATGGGGCAGGAGATATATATCTATATCTATATAGATATATATCTAGATATAGAAATCTATATAGATATAGATATATATCTAGATCTAGATGTAGATATATTCAACAATCCAATAGTGATGTGGTTAGAAATAACTGCCATTGTTATTCTGACAATGAAGCCACCTGAAAATGTGGACTGACCTTGTACTCTTATTAGCGAGTACTTCACAGTGTTGTTTTGGAAACCCAATTGTGTGGTTAAAAAAAAAAAGTCAAATCTTAGCAGCTTATTATCACCATCATCAAATGGTAGTCCTTCTCAAACTACACTGAGAACCTCAGAAACCTTCATCAGTTTCAAGGGAGCCAAAGGGCTTGGAGGATGGGTAATTGTCTATGGATGTGACCCATTTGTGTCTCGCCCAGATTGCAGTTAATGGAGAACTGTTGTTCTCTGACAGGGTGTTTGATGGTTTCTAGGAAATGAGTGGCTGTTTTCATTCCTGTTCCAAATGGACAGGTGTCTACATCAGAATTGGCAACCTGGTTGGCAGACTCAAAGAGTGGCCAATGAGCAAATTGTTTATGGAGAATCAACTTCCCTCCCTCCCGAGATGGCTGTGCACACGTGCAAGCGCTGGCCGTGGGCAGGAGGAGACAGAGATGCTGGAGGCAGAAAGATTGATGCAGGTCCAGGGAGCACAAAGAGCAGAAGCCTTTGGGTTCCAGTTGGAGCCATATGCAAGGGGACCTCTTCCGGAGCTCATCTGGGGCTTACACACTTGGTGTTCAACGTGCACAAGTGAAAGTTACTTAATCTTCCAAGCACGCCCACATCACTCGCAACAAATAAAGCAAATTAAGCCGAAGGTCTTCTACACTTTGTTGCATTAGCAATTTTTTTTAAGTGTCCTTTTCATCCTTTGGAGGGAACTGAGTGTGCTTACTTCCAGGATGTGAAAAGTGGTAAGTGTAAGACTCACACCTGTGAATTCAAAGCAGGAAGTCCCTCTGGTCTTCAGTGAACCGTCACATTTTAACACATAATACCTAAGGAGGACCAGCAGATATATCAAAGTATTTAATTCTCCTTTCACTTTTACACATAATCCTCACAATCTAGTTAGTCATGCTGATTCTTACTTGCTGGGTGTTATTAAAAAAGCAGTGAATAAGACATATGTTTAAGGAAAAAACAATTATACTATGCCAGCATCTGATATCCTTTTATTTTCTAGCCTCTATCAAATTTGTTTTACCTTTTAGAGAATGTTAATAGTAATAATAACAAAACACCCTCTGAGTAGGAAACTGAAGCAGGTGTTATTGTTGATAGGGAGATTAACACTGAATTTGGGGCAAATTTTACCAGATATCTAGAGTTATTAGGAATATCTCATTTTTCAAATTTAAAAATTTTTAGTCTTCCAGTCACAGTACGATTTTTCTCCTTTGTCTTAACATTTGGCTTTTCTCTCTTGTCTTAATATTTGTATTCTCATCTCTACCTTTTTTATTTACTTTTACTCCACTCTAGGGCCAGGGATTTAGCTCAGTGGTTGGGTGGCCTGCCTCACAAGTGCAAGGACCTGAGTTCGATCCCCAGTACCAAACAAAACAAAACAAAACTTTTACTCCACTGTATTTCCAGGAATTATGGTAATGAAAACCAAAGGTCTTTCAGTGAGGCTACTTCCTGCGCTCTCTGACCTTGAGTACTGCATTAACTCTCTAGGCCCCAGTTTCTTCACTTGTGAAGTGGGACATTAATAACCCTTACTTTACAAACTCACTTGAAGATTCATAAAATACCATATTTTCCACATTCCAGCAACAGAGTGAGTTCTCCAAGTTAAGCAACACCATTCCTTCTGCTGCTGCTGCAGAAGATGGCATTGTGACCCGCTAAATGGCAACACCTTGGTCTTCATCTGGGAAGCAGCAATCACAATACCCCCACCCCAGCACTTGGGCTGAACCAGGGGCAGCACCAGTTTGAGCCTAGCCGGAGGAACCTAGTGATTTATTTAGCAAGACTCAGTCTTCAGATTCTTAAAAAATTAAAAGAAGGGACAGGGAGCATTCACTGTGAGAAGGAAATCTAACTTTTGAGAGTTCTAGATGGCCGTTCTTTATACCAGGATCTAGAGGTTTAGCTGAGTACAGCATGGCGTGAATGAAGGCAAAGTTGAGAGGGATGCCTAGTGAGTCTCTTTTGTCTTGTGACAATCACTCATCCCTCAGTATCACATAAATAAATGCAGACCTCCGAGTGACGGGTGAGAAATCTCAGCAGGGTTGGGCGGGAGTAGACATCCAAAATTCACCCCTGCTCCAGGAGAAAACACGTCTTACACTGATCCAGAAACATGCCTTGGAATCCGCAGGATGGAGAGAGTTCAATGGAACATTTGTTTCCTTACTGATATAATTAATTTACTAATAGAAAGAGTATCAAAACTCCCTAGAGTCTGTATTGAGGGATAAACTCTGACACCATTTAAAGAGTCACTGTGCAGACTTCCGGAGGTCAGCCACCCCTAGCAACTGCAGAAGAGTGAGGCACATCTCCAAAAGCTAATAAAGCCTAGGAAGGAGTCCACAGTTATGGCTCCTTGGAATAGAACAAAATAGAAATGGAAGATTCCATTCTTAAGCCATTTTTGAGCAACCCACCTGAACAAAGTTCTTGACCGACCTGGCTGATTTTGTGATTCTGTATTTAAAACCAAACGTTCAGTAACAGTTTAGATAGAAAAACAGGTTGTTCATATCATTCTCAATTGTATCAAATTTAGGGCATGTGTGGG